CTTTAAATTAATTAATGCCAACAATTTGGTAAAATTAATACAATACAATACACACACACAGATATATATATATATATATATATATATATATATATATATATTTATATATATTTATATATATATATATATCAATCTTCGTTTAGCGTCCAGAGACCCAGTTTCCCGAGGTAGAACGTTGTTTTCTTTGCCATCAATTTTTAGCACTAAATTAGACGATCAGTTGTATCCATTTCATTTAAATTTAGAGCTTTCATGTCTTGCTCGATTGTTTGCAACCAGGACTTCTTTGGACAGCCTTTGGGACGTGTGCCAGGTACTTCAACTTCTGCAAGAGAAGTTATGGCACTGTTTCCACTTCGTTTGACATGACCAAACCACCGCAGACGGTGTAGCCGGCATTCGTCCTTTATATCATCTAAACCAGCACGACGCAGGATTTCGGTAAATTTGATGTGGTCCTTCAGTTGCATCGTTGCTAATTCGTTGCATCCATCGGAGCATTTTTCATGTCGGTTCGTTGAAGTTGTTGTTCCAGTTTGGTTGTCATTGGTCATGTTTCTGCACCATATAACAACACCGGACGTATCACAGATTTATAGAGTCTTGATCGTAGTGGTAGTGGGATGTCACGCCGCATCAATATAGAGGCAAGGAAATGCCATTTATTCCAGGCTGCACGTATGCGTGCTCGAACGGCAGCTTCAGCTGTTCCAGTACAATGCAGAACATCCCCTAGATATTGAAACGATGTGACTTTCTCTACCTTATTGGCTTCAAAAACAGTGCTATTTCGAATTGGTTGTTGAGGATTGATGCAAGCAGGACAAACAAAATTGGACTCTTTATATAAAGTACCAATTATTTTTGAACAACGTTTGTGACACCACTGGTTACACTGCTGACACTTGATTGAATTGTTACCTACACCGGCTTTACAAACTGAACAAAAAATTTAGGTCATTGTGAGTTTTTAACAGAGGGTCCATAGTTAAATTGGGAATATCGTAATTTCTTTTTTTCGGCTTTTATTTGGTGTCGCTTTGTGTTTGTTGTGGCAGGTTGAATGAGTGGGATGGGAGAAGGTAGTTAGATTTTATTTATTTGTTTATTGATGATTGATTTTTTTGTATGTGAAGTGCTTCTAAGATTTGGAGTGTTCTATGGTTTGTTGCTCTGTTGATGATTTTGGTTCATTAGACAAGGTCCTTGATTGTAACTTTCTTATTATGTATTAGTTTAGAGTACTTTGAAGGTCCACCATTAGATAGATGTCTCGTAAGTCGTATTGATAAAGTAGTCATGCCAATAAAAATTTGATCATCACAGCCATCATTGTTACAGTGATAGTGGTAGATTACTTTTGCTTGTTTGAGAGGATTATTATCTGTGGTAGTGTTATTTCTGATTATTATTGAATTATCTGTTTTTGGGTTTTGGTAGTATATTAGTAGTACTTTGATCTGTTGGTTAGGTGTTGTAGGTTGGAGGTTCCTTTTTATTATATTATTACTTATCGTTTCGTCTATTTTATATTTGCGGTTCAAATGTTTCTGTAATATATTATAATATGTTTGCTAATAATGCTTTCGTTGTTATTATCCGATGTGTCATTGATTGTTTTCAGTTCTTTATGCAATAGTAATTGAGAACTGCAGTGGCTGATTTTTTGAGTCTTTCTGCGCATTCGCTAAATCTTTGCAAGCATGAATTAGCGTTAGTTGCTTTAACATAAACTGATGTATAAACTTTGAAATATCTTTATTGAGTTGAATGTTGATGTCAAGGTATTTTTTGGCATCTTCAGTTGGGAATGTTAGAATGGAATATTCAGTCAGGGATTTTTGATGTTTCCAATTTTGTCTTCCTGATCAGCCAGGATGAAGATATCGTATATATATCTGCAATATATAGTAGGTTTTGGTATCCGCTGAAATATCTTTCCTCTACTGACCCTAAATAAAAATTAGCAAAGAGAACTCCCATCGCTACGCCGTCAACTAGCATATTCACCGTTTGGGCCGTTAAACGGTGAATATATATTTATTAATTTATATTATATATATATATTTATATTTATCTATATATATATATATATATATTATTATTATTTTATATTATTATTATTTTATTTTATATTATTATTAATATATATATATATATATATATATATATATATATATATAATTATATATATTGCTCTACATATATTGCTCTACATATATTGCTCTTGTATTTTGATTTAGTATTGAAAATATTCGTTGTCATAAATATTTCACAGTAGAAAGGAAAACAAAAGTGCACTGCTTTCAAATTGTCTTCAGTCATCGATGGAATCCAGCAATGAGCAAACGGCTATTGATGGAGATTTAGAAGGTCTACGAAGAATCTGCTTGAATGTTCTACACACCATTAGTGATGCCAATGATGGTAGTTTTTTTCATTAATAAGTCTGATGAGAGTATTCATTTGGTTATGATTTTGTTCATGTTTTTTATCAGTTGCGATTTAAAATGCTTGTGGGTGCCTTTGGTCATTTAAGTAACTGGCTTGATTAACGTTTCAAGTCTCACGAGTAGAGACCGACCAAAGTTTCGGTTACACTTGTGAACAAAATATCACAGACCAAATGTTTGGCCGCACAGAAGTTTAATTATTTTTGTTCAATAATAATTTGAAAACATTTAATTTCATTACTTTGCATGACATTAAATGTTACATTAAACAAAAGTTTAAAACATTTTATAAGTTTTTTTAACTTAAAAGATTGAAATAATTTTAAACTCTTAAGGTTAAATGACATTTTGTTAATAAATGAAAATAGAAAATATAAAGTATTTCTATATATGTATATAAAAATATATAGTATTTCTAAGAGTTAAGAAATAGAAATGAGATTACTACAGAACGTCATTCATTTACCTCACATTTTTTATCTGCGTGCGGACAAGAAATGTATTTTTATTTATTAAAATATATTCAAAAAGTATATTTAAGAACTTGAGCACATAAACACAAGTGGCAGAACGGCCTCTTTTACCAATTGCAACTAGCTTCCGATGCACGTAGCGACCTTCAATTTAGTTCAAAATTTTATTTCACACTTTGGGTGTAATCGTTAACTCTCAAAAGTCATTTTTAATCTAAACGATTAAAAATTATGTAAAACCAATTGAAAAAACTTTTAAAGTATTTTTTTAACTTAAAAGAAAATAATTTTTTAATTTATTCGATCAAATAACATTTACTTTGTAAAAAAATTACTAGAAAATATTGAGTAGTTAGGATAACGGTTTGAAATTTAAAAAACGTCGAATGTTTTCTAAAAATGCAAAACGACTACTCAATAGCACAGCGTCACATCTCACGTTTTTGAATTATTATAAATAGTTACCGTAACTACTCTATTTGCTAATAATTTTACTTAGTAAATTTTGTTTAACAATTAGATTTAAAAATTGTCTTACTCTTTTAAGTTCAATAAAAAACACTTTAAAAGTTTTTTCAATATGTTTTTCTTAAATCGTTAGCTGCCAGCGAGTAAAAATTTGGAACTTTCTACAATAATTTTAATAATAAAAAAATAAATTTTTATTGTTGGGGTAAACGTGGCAATAAATTTCATGACACATTGAAAATATGTTCTAAATGGTTGATCCTTAACTCGATTAAGCTTAAATCACTGCAGATTTCGTTAGCTAATGTGTGCTAAGCTTAATAATTACTTGCGTAATTGTAATCCAAACACTCTATATGTTGATGAATGTTTTTTAGGATAAACTTGTTGACGAATTTGCTTTTAATGTAATCGTTTTTTTTTAATTTTTTTTAAACAAGTTTATTTCATGGAGCGTAAAAAGGAAACATGAAAAAGGATTCCAAGAGATAAAATAAAATTCTAAATAATATAGAACCCTTGCTTTGATATTATTATGTGGATGCTGTTCTTTGTATGTTGTGTTATTATGTAGATAGTTCTGGTCCTCTAACTTGATGTTGCGATGAATAATGTATCCACATAGGAACAAGGAACTAGCGGATCACTGACGTGGTGCTCGCGATCAAACTCGATTATCGTAAAACGAATGTATAGTGGTGACGAATTAAGTTGATGACTTACGCGACTTAGTTATTATGTTAGTTAGTTATATTATATTTCAGCGAATTAAACACAAACTCACCCATTTTAGTTTTACAGTTCTTTTTCCAAAACAAGGTGATATATAAAATAAATGCTACGAATAAAATCTATTTGTATGTCTTGAGTCCTATCTGTTGCGTGAGTTATGTTGTGTCCTTCCCGTCTTGTTCCGTCTCTCGAGTAGACTCGTGTATGTCTTATGTCCTTCTTCCCGTCTCGTCTCGTCCGTCGTGTAGTTCCGTGTATGTCTTTTGTAGTTTCTCCCCCTCCTCTGCTTAATGCTGCATCTCCTTATATAGGAGAAGGTGCCTGCGCGTTGGCGTTTTAGTTTCACATGCGAAAATGGTTGCATATGGATTTAATTACCTCGTCTGTAATACTTTGCATACCAGTCGTGATGAATTGCGGTCAACTGTGTCTTTTTCTTATTTGATATTTCTCTGTTTGTGGTTTCGTCTGTCTGTGTGTATGCATTTTGCTGTGTGCGCTGGCGTCTTAGTTTCACATGCGAAAATGGTTGCACATGGATCTGATTACCTCGTCTGAAATATTTTGCATACCAGTCGTGATGAATTGCGGTCAAGTGTGTTTTTCTCTTATTTAATATTTCTCTGTTTGTGGTTTTGTCTGTCTGTGTGTATGCATTTTGCTGCGTGAATATATTCCCTCTGTGGAACAATAAATACGTCAGTCGTGTTTTATGTGTTTTAGTCTTTGTATGTACTTATGTGTGTGTGTGTTGATTGATTTACTTGATAATATATCACAAATCAATTATCACAATATCACAAATATCACAAGTAAAAAATGAAAGTAGATAAATATAAGTCATAAGAGTAAACAATAAGCTAAAATCATGTTCAAATGTTTAAAAGCAGAGTTTGTATGTCCAAAAATCCGATAAATCAAATAACAACATTGTTTTAAACAGATCGAAACGATTTAGATATGCACGAATAAATGAAAACATTAAATAAATGAAAACATTAAAATGAAAACATTAAATAAATGTAAACATTAAAATGAAAAATTAATTAAATGTAAACATTAAAAGGAAGACACTAAATAAATGAAAACGTGAAAACAATTAAATAAATGAAAACATTAAAATGAATCATTAAAAATATTAAAAACGGGTGAAAAGAATAATTGTGATTTTTTTTCTTTGTTTCTTATTTTGGTGAACAATAGAATGCTGTCAATAAGTATTAAAAATAAAAACATTTTATTTTGATCATTTTCCTTAAACTGTTTCAATATTTTTTTGTAGATGAAATGAACTGTAGCAACCATCAATTATTAAAACTACTTCATATGCCCGAGTTAGTTTTATATATATTTATTTATCTAGCTGAATGTTTCATCAAACTAGTTTAATTTAATTTGGGTTTTTAAAGAAATTTTCATTAACAGGAAGCTGGTGCTTGACAAGTTGGAACAGGAACCTACAAGTCTGATGTCACTTGCTTCGAATGTACATATGAATTACTATGACTCGTTTCAATCATTTAATCTGCACGTCAATCACCTATTCCGCTATCTACGGGCAAGTATTTAACCTTTAATGCTTATTTTTCAGGTCATTATAAAATTATACACACAGACTCACACATACACACACACACACATATATATATATATATATATATATATATATATATATATATATATATATATATATATAAAGGTTAACGGCCTCCTTTCATTTACCCTAAGCAAGGCTTCAGAAGGTAATTTTATTTTTTCCAGACAAAAGAAGAGTTAATTGTATTTTTTTACAGCTAACTTCACACTTGCATTGCATTGTCATTATATGTTTTGATAGCTGATATAGCAAGGCTTGTGCGTGAATAAGTTCAATTGATTTTACGCTGTAGTTTTTAGTCGGTGCCCTTTTAAATAGGGAGAGTAATACGCCAGTGCCAGAACTGGTTTGTAAAATTTCGATCCGGCAATTTTGATGTCGAAGATGCCCCACATTCTGGAAGGCTGGTTGAAGCTGAAGACGCGATGAAGGCACTCAACTAACCAGCGAATAACAACACGTGAGTTAGGTGAGGCGTTAGGGTTAATTCATCGAATTCAACTGTTTATGACCACCTGAAAGGCCTGGGTTTAACCTCGAAGCTCGATATGTGGGTTCCCTATGTCCTTACAGAGAGAAATTTGTGTCGTTGTTTTGACGTCTGTGCTTCACTCCTCAAACGTTACAAAAATGGTCCCTTTTTGAAGCGCATCATTGCTGGGGACGAAGGATAGATCGTATTATAACAATGTCAAACACAAGAGATCATGGATCAGAAAAGATGGGCTGGCTCAAAGCATTTCAAAAGCCGATATCCATCAAAAAAGGACAAACTGAATGATGCACTTCAATAGAAACGGCCAGAATGAATCAACAGAAAAGATGCAGTGTTCCAGTGCCAGACCTCATGCAAGTTTGGTCACTCGCCAAAATCTTTTACAGCTTGGATGGGTTGTATTGCCACACCCACCATATTCTCCAGACCGGGCCCCTTTGGATTATTATTTGTTCGGTCGGTCACTGCAAAATTTTTTGGACGGTAAAACTTTTATCTCAAATGTACTTGTCAAAAATCACCTGGATCAGTTTTTTGCCAGCAAAGACCAAAAATTTTATGAGTGTGAAATTATGCTACTACTAGAAAGAATGCAAATGGTGTTGAATCAGAATGGCCAATATTATATTTAAATATTTGTTCATTACACGAAGATCGTCTTTTATTTTCACCACGAATTCCAAATTCCGAACAACCTGATATATAGTTGCTAGAAATATCACGGCATTGCAGGCTGTGATGTTTTAAACAACTGCATATCAGATATTATGTCTCATTTGCGTTTTACAGTTTGTAAATAAATTTTCAAATGCACGCAACAGTGTTAATTCACGTCTATTGGCTGTTATATTAACAAAATAAATTAGCTGACAGCTGTTTCTTGTTCTTGCTAAGAACAATTTAATAATGAGCGAATTTGGTGAAAGTAATTTAGCTCTAAAGTTAATTTACCTAAATTTATTTTACTAAATTATTTTTACCAAATTCATTCGTTATTAAATTGTTTTTTGACTCGGAGGACCACATTTTCCAAAATAGCCGTCAGTCAATATATTTTCATAGTAGTTGACCTATCCAAAAATTGATCGTAATTCGTTGACTTTTTCGTTTTTCGTGCTTTCTTAATTGCTTCAACTTTATCTTGAGCTATTTGATTTCCATCTTTGTTGATAGCATAACCGAAATAGTTCACTGAAGTTGCACCAACGTGACATTTTTCAAGTCCAATCTCATACCAAAATCTCTAGCACGTTGGAATATTTTTTCAGTCGCTTTAAATATTTTTCCGCTACGTGCAGCTGTCAAAATGGGGTCCATAAAGGTGTATATTCCCTCTAATCCACGAGCCGTCTGATCCATAGTACGATGCAAGTTGCTGGGGCTGCTGCAATTCCTAACCGTTGGCGTTTGAATCTACCAATACTCTCTTCGTGTTGATTACTAGATATTTCTGGGTCTTGTCATCCAACTCAATTTTATAACGGACTTTGGCTAGATCCAGGGTTAAAAAATACATGCAGCCAACCAATTTCTCAAAAAATTCTTTAACTTTTGGTAACGTATACCGCTCCACCAATGCTTTTTTGACGGAATGTTTAAAATCTGCAAATGCTTCTCTTCCTCTTTTTGTTACAAGGATAATAGAGACGTATATTCGCTGATGTCTGTTGGAACATATTCGATGATTCCACTTTTCTTCATTCGTTCTAATTCGAGGTTAACGCTCTTCTCTGGTCTCGGTTGCCTAAATTTCCTAATCGGTATATCCATGAGCTAGATGCTGGCTTTAAATACCTTAGAGCCGTTTGAAGCCGTCTTAAATCATTAGTACTGCTGTCAATGCAGCTATTGGTCCATACGTATTGATGAACGATGTTGGTTGTCTAAAGGGTGCTTACCTTTTTTTTTTAATTTCAACTTGAGAATGAAATAAAATGAATGAAACGAAATGAAATGAAATGTTGTGGTCAAGTTAATTCTTATTATTGATATGTACTGTACAGAGTCAAGCGTCATGTAATGTTGATGTTGAAGATGCTATAGTGAGGCTGAGTGCTGTGCACAGGAATGCTTGCAAGGATGCTTTGCTCCTGCTGGACGATCAGCCATCTAGTCATCACCTGCAGCAGCAAATTAAACCCTCCAATTCCGTTGTAAGTGGTAGCCGTCAAAATATCTCTGACTACAACGGGAATAGAAATTTAAGGAGTATTAATAATTGCAACGCTCTTCATAATGGTGGTAACATAGATTATGATTATGATGACGGTCTCAAAAGTGACAGTAATAATAATTATAACAACACTAACAAAATGTTAGTACCTCACCAGTTAAACGATGGTTTTTCAAATATTAATACTGAAGTGTTTAAGCACGACAAAAACAAAAGTAGCATTTTGATGAATGGTTGCACTGAATCAAAAAACGAACATGAAGATGGCAATGGTGATAACGAAACAGATGTTATTCGATGCGTATGCAACATATACAATGATGAAGGTGTCATGATCCAGTGTGAAAAATGCGAGGTTGGCTAATTTTACCGCATCTTTTTTACTATAATTTTTTTTCGAACTAGTAATATTATCACCACTAAATAAAAAATACTTTAAACAAAACTTGAAGTCAGTCACTGTAATAGTTTTTCTTAGTAAAATTTGTATTTATGTTTTAAAATGTACTGAAAAAATTAGGTGATTTTATTCACATTATTAGCATGTATTTTTAGTATTAAAGGTGATTGCATATTACCACACATATTTATCTTCTAAAAATAATTTCTAAAAAATTTCACACCAAAAAATAAAAATTTTTTTAAATTAAAAGTCGGATGAAAAATATCTGACTGCGACTCCGGCCCTTCAAAACATTCAGACTCCGGCAAAAATCTTCTTTTCTAATTTTCCTCTTAAACTGTTTATCTTCTTTATCACATCATATCTAAAATCTCAAAAGCTCTCTGCCGTGGAACAACATTTGCTTTTAATAATAACTCTAATGACCGTTCATCTTCATAGTTATTATTTTTGTGCAACAATATTTTGATTAGTTTAAGTCACGTAAAAATGGAAAATAAATGTGTTTCTATGTTTATTATTTTTTTTAACTGAACTAAAACTTTTTTCCTTGGAAAATAATATAAATTTTACTAAATTCTATGTCGCAAAACTGGGAGCCTCACAATACATTTGGATTGAATGAATTATTATTATTTAGGTTGAACGATAGCGTAATTAATATTAGACAATATTGTTTGAATTTGCATTGCGCAATGTTGCTTATATGTTTATATGCGTGAGTATGAATTTCCAATAAACCTTCCAATTTCCAATGCGCGCAGACTTGGCAACACTGCATGTGCATGGGCGTGAAAGGTGATGAAGAGGAGTACATGTGTGAGTTGTGTCAACCCAGACAAATTAGTCAGGTATGGTCTTATTTTCTATTTCACTTGTTTACAATATATATATATATATATATATATATATATATATATATATATATATATATATATATATCGAATCTACCGAATTTTTAGCTTTTGAAAGTTTACGATTGAGCTTTTCAATATTTCTAACAGTAATTTTGTAATTATTATCAAATCTATTAGTAATTATTATTCAATTTAATAGCAATTTAAAAGCTAAAAATTCGGTAGTTTTTATCAAATATTGGATCAATTATGGTCTCCTTCCAGCCTTTAAAGTTTGCAGGTGATAATGATGGGGTGAAAATGTTTTTTACACGATTAGCATAATAATATTCAGACTTACATGAAAATTTAAATAAGTCTTCGAATTCACAATCTAATTCAGATATCGAATTAGCAATATTATTGTCTTCCATTATGTTAGATTTTATTAGTTGCAATAACAAGGTTGGTCCTATCATTACCTTCATCATTACCTTCATCATAAATCATCCACTTAGAGGTCGTCGTGTCGACAGGCCAAATGCTTTCATCAAAAAAATTTTCTTCGTCCACGGAATTGATGATAACTTTGATAAAGTTGACATTGAGTCCTCGTTTGGTTTAGACGGATTTGGATCTTTATTAGATTTTTTATACAGCGGGAAGCACGACAAAACATTTATGTCTTGGGTGGCTGCATAATCAACAACATTTTGCTTTGTACATTTCTGCAGAGTGCCAATATGGAAACAATTATTTTTTTTGACAATTTATTGGCTTTAATAATTGAATCAGTTGCAACAAATTTACCCGTGATTGGTTTCGTGATTGGATTTTTAATCTGAAGATTTGACGCGTGATTAAAACTTATTCGATGACGTTTTTTATTTTGAACAAGTGTAAGACCATCGTCTGGAGCACTTAAACAGTCAGACCAAAGCTGCGTCGGTTTTGGAATAGCCGGTCCCGTGAATTGAAAATCTATGGGAACAAACGGTTTTGTTGAATCAACCGAATTATTAGTTGAAGGCTTATGTCGTTGGCGAGTTGTTGTTTGTTTTATATGGTCTAATTGCGGGATTTGAATAAAGTTCGGTCAGTGATAATTTTAGTGAACGCATTTAATGAACATTTTATAAATTTTGAAGTGCGAAACGCAGTTTAGAAATTTATTTTAAAAAATGATTAAAGTTTAAAGTTTTTTTCAGTGAACTTATTGAAAAAAATAATTTTTAAATTTGATCTATCAAATAAAATTTACTATGGAAAAAAAATATTAGAAAATATTGAGTATTCAAAATAAAAATTTGGAATTTAGAAAAACGTGGAATTCTTTATATAAAAAAAGTACTACACTGTAGCTCAAAGTCGCATACCATGTTTTTTTAATTCTAATAGTTCGTATATATATATATTATTATTTTTTTTGCAAGGTATTTGATTGATTAAGTTAAAAATTATTTTTTCAATAACAAAACTTTTAAAGTTTTTTAATTTGTCTTATTTTTTATTCAATTTACAATTCGGCGCTGCTCTCATCCACTCTTGAAATCATCTTTTTGTTTTGTTGATGAGCAATCCACCATCCTGATTTGTCTAAATCAGATTTCGTTGACCATCTGCAGCGAATGTTAGCAGATCATTTTCAATTCCTTCTCCAATTTCGATTCCATTCCACTTAACGATATTGTTTTCACTTTTCCATTTCTCTTTCTAACATTGCATGAGCATAAGTCAAAACATACACGGTGAATCTATCTGAAATTGAAATGCAACCTTTTGTTTGAACAACACGGATGAGTTTTTTCATTACACTTGAAAGTTTTGTTTTATCAACGTGATTGTATTCCACTATATTCTTATTTAATTATAATAATTTTGAGCCTGCGGTAAAACTTTCAGAATTATTTGATTTATAATCGCTAGAGCATTTTTCCGTTTATATAAGTCAATATATTGAACCGTAGCAAGGCCTGGTTGCCTTCACTTACAGTTATCATAAGAATGTAAGGCATTTTATCAATTTATTTCAGGAGATTCTTCTAGTGCCACAGCCAGACCATGGATTGCCTCTTTGTAGGTTAGTTTTTTTTTGTTTCTCAATCAAACAGCCAACCAACCCACAAATCAAGCAACCTACCAAGCAACTAATTGATCAAGATATGTTTCATAGCGCCATTTACGTAACTTTCAACGGCACTAATTAACAAAACAAGTAGGATGATTTGAAAAGGAAGATATCTATAAGCAGCAAGCGTTAGAAATGAGAAGTTAAAAAATATTCAACGTCATTGGCAAATAATTTGTTGCTCGTAGTAGTTATATTGATTGTTTATAGCGACAACACAATCTATTTTTGAACATTTTTTAGCTTTCAGTATAATAAATAACCTTTTTATTAATAAATACATTTGTAAAGTTTGTGTTGGGAAAATTTATTCGAGTGGGTCAGGAAGGAAATTTGAAAAACAGATTTTAGAAACCAAAATTTTTAGACAGTCATTAAAATATTAAAAATGTATTTACTTTTCTTGATTCCTTCTCAAGTTGTTTGGACTGCCGTTAAATTTTCGCGTTGCAAGTTTTACAAGTTTCACAGAGGAGCATATTTTATAGACTGAAGATGCAAAATATAATGAAGGCTACATTACCACTTCAGGTACTACATCACGTTGTTGAGGGACGACAGGCTGCAAGTGAGGGTCGGTGACTGTGTGTATGTTTCTCAGGAGTCATCCACTGACAACACTGCCGATGAAGAGAAGGTATTGGACAAGCGGGAGTTCGGTATATTCAGGGTTGAACGACTCTGGAGAAAATACAAGTTAGTGATCGGAGAATGTTCCTTTGTTTTACTTTAATTATTTTTGACTAATTTCTTTTTTTTGCAGGATTTATGGCGTAGAATATATTAGAAATAATAAGCCAAAAAAAGCAATAATAAAATTTGTCATTCTGAAAAAAACTGGTAATTAAGATACATGGAGAACTTATAAAAAAAAAAGTTTCTTTGAGGCTATGAGATACAACTGCAAGCTGATAAATTGAACTGAAATATATAAAATATATCTTTAAATAAAAAATATATTTTCAAATAAAAATATAATTTCAAATATAAAATGATATTTATAACATAAAATATATATTCAAATATAAAACCTATCTTCAAATATAAAATATACCTTTGAATATTTAACCTCCTTACTTTAAGTTATAAAAATGGATTTATTGGGTGTATTTATATTTATCGATATACTAAAAATGTTTATATTTGTATCTCATATTATTGCACAACTAGTTAAGGTGGTCAGCACATGCTTTCGTATATATGATCTCCTGTTTCTTTTCGAATAAAATTCTGGAAAAAAAAATATAATATATATCTTCAAAACGCGCACATGAACCGACAGCAGAGTCGTTAATACGGAAGCATCGCCATCGCTGGTGTTACGTCGGCTGATCTTTTGCAATGCTGGCTTTGATGTCGGCAACATTTTCAATGCCCAGTATCAAACTTAACATCACCGTTATTATTTAGGCAGAAAAAATGAATACTCGATACCGATACTTTTTAAAGTGAAGTGGATATATTGTTAATTATGATCATTTCAATTTTCATAATTTTACGCGTTTTTCAAATGCTAAATTTGGGATTTAAAATTGGCTTTTGCCGTGTTTTGTATGTTTGTTTTTGAAAATTTATTTTGTCACCGCTGTCCTTTATATTCCGAAGCGTTGTTCTCTTGGGTGCTTCAAAATTGTTTCAAAAAATTTTTTAATCTTTTTTTTAATCAACATATTTTCTCAACCATTTAAAGGGCAGTCTATTTATAAAATAAAGATATTTGCACTATCATTTTTGCTAAAATAATTTTAACTGTTAGCAATGAATTTATGAAACACTTGACAAAAAAATTGCTCTTTTCATTCTGGAAAAATTAGGAGTCTGCTTTATTGTTGCCTGTGTGTCTTCAGACTTCAATATCCAAACCTGGACATAAATATTCATTTAAACTTGCTTTAAATTTGATAATTCAAACAATTAACCATTACACAATCATTTTCATTTTATATAACTACGACCATCGTATGCATTGTTAGGGATGAAATAATAGTTACGCTTTCGTATTTCGCCGTTTAAATATACAAAGTATTGAAAGTATTCCCGGCTGTATTTTCAAAAATAAGTTTTAGTATTACATTATGAAGCCGTTATCTGTACTGGCGATACAAGTTTTGAGTATTGCTAACAACTCTGCCTAAACGATGTTAAAAATTCAAGATGTGATGTGAAACCTACTCGACATTTAAGTTTGTTTGTTATGTTATTGTCAGGAAGAATAAATCCTTAGAGTATAAAAAGTTGAAAGGTTCTGTAAACTGGGAAGAATGTTTTATCAGTTAGAACGAAAACATTGGAGACGAATTTCCCCAAAGACGTAAGAGTTTAAAGGTTTCAAGCTGTATGAAACATTTGTAAAGAGCAGGGAATGTTTGAAAAAGAATAGACTTCTGTTATAAAGAAAAATTTTTTAAAAAGAAGAAGGGAAAAAATTGCTGATGTCTGAATTGGCATCGATTTATATACATATGTCTGCTGTCACTAAGAAATCACTTGAAATATATCACTTGATTTAATTTAATTAATTACTTTAAATGGCTGCTAGCAATCTAAACCACAAACAAACAAGCTCTCGACATTTGAAATGTTCTCAGACTAATCGGAAGTAAAAACAATGTTTCTTTATAATGTTTCTTTTTCTTGTTTATTTTTGCAGTGGTGATGGGTGTGCTTCAGGATATTACTACGTGCGACCTCATGAAACTTTCCATGAACCAAATCGTAAATTTTTTCCTAATGAAGTTTTTAGGACGCCTCGCTATCACGTTATTCCAATTGAAAATGTAGTTGGTACATGTTGCGTTATGGATCTCAACACATACTGCAAGGTTTTAAGATGATTAATCAATTATTATCATCATCATCATCACCTATTTGAAAATGTTGATTGGTCGTGTGGTTTTAAGGATAAATTTTTTTTATATTGTGTCTAAAATTAATTTCACGTTGATAGATTTGCGCAGGCCTTTTTTAAACATATTTTCGATATTTTCTAATGTTTTTTGATTCAAATTAAACTCTTTTAAGTGTATATCAGTTTGAAATTTGTTACCATTTTCAGGGCCGACCGCTGAGTGTTACAAACAGCGAAGATCTCTATATATGCGATTATAGAGTTGATGAAACTGCTCGACTTTTCTACAAAATTTCAAAAACTAAACATCCGATTAACACGAATTTTTACTGCTTCCACCATTATACTACAAAATTGAAACCTAAAAGGACGTATATGGTGAGTATTTTAATTCTAAATTTGCCGGATGCACATCTCATTTCTTTCATTAAAACAAATTTTGTGATTCTCATTTACAGCCTCATCAGATAAACAAGCCTTAGAAAGCCACACTTACAGACAATTACAAATTTTGATATTATTAAAAATAATATTTATAAAATTTCTGTTTGTGCCATAAAGTAATTTATAAACTGAAAATATTTTACACATTTTTTTTAGATAGTATTTTATTTGCGTCATTTAATTTAGTTATACCAGATTCCCGGCAACTTGAAAAATAAGAATGGTTTTTAATTGACGAGCGCTAGGACTGTTAGATGATGTTAACAAACTACAGTTGGGTTCAAACCTAAAAATGTTTATAATTTTGGAAAATTTAGAAAAAATTATTATTATAGGAATATTTGTAAAGCTTTCTATTTTAGTTTGCTCAGCTAACAATAATAAAACTAACATTATGTGGCAGCTTATAATCAAAAATTTCCAGAAAACTGTTTTTTATTTTTAGGTGTTTTATAATTTAATGTATTTAGAAAGTTTCAGTTCAATATTTCACTTGCTTACAAAGAGCTGATTAACCGCAAAAAGCTGCATGTGGTTTTCGAGTATGGCCACCGTAACAAGGTTTAAAATTGTATCGAAATAAAGTAAAACATAAACAATCAGAAGTCACAAAGAATACAAAGGGAAACATTACATGGAATAATTGTCACCATAAATACAAAACTTTATTAAATGAAAGTAAAAGTTCGACAAAAGCGAGTAGGTAAAGCTACGACAAAAGCGAGTAGGTAAAGCTTTTCTGTTACCAAGGTTGAGAGAGTAAATTATAGTTACAATTGATGTAAAAAGATAAAATTATTGCCATTATTAACAAAAATAACGAATAAATCACGACAAATTGCTCTGCAGATGTGCGCTTAATAAATTTTCGTTCATAGTATGTCAAAATTTCTTGCAACTTTTTAACATGGATCAGAGATCTGTTCGTCGCTTGATTCCGATCTTTGTATTTGATAATCCGCAGTTGATTAAAATGCTGTCGTCATTTACATACCTTTACGATAAGAGCAGGTTAGTTGTACTATGTAATATCATGATCGGCTTAATTTGTATTACGTGCCAGGTAATCACCGAAAAATTTTCAGCTGTGCACATTTGGGTCAGACAGAAATATTAACCACTTGCAATTAAGGCTGATAATAAAAATAAACACCGGCTTCACTGTGAGAAGAAATTGTTTCTAAACTAAAATTAATTTTAAACAAGAGAGTGAAAAATCTAACAAATTTACAATTGGATGAAATCGGAAAGAAAAAAACTGAACAAATTTTTACGGCTCACCTATAATAATAATAATAATAAATACCATTTATAAAGCGCCATTCACCCCTCTACACTCTATCCTTTAAGTAAAGCTTTTAGCTCTGCTGCTCGTCTAGTTGCTCGTGCCCCTTTATTTTCTCATATATCTCTATATCTGATTTTCTGGCACTGATTACCTATAAAATAAAGAATAATTTTAAAAATTTGGACATTAATGTATAACTCTTAATCTAAATTATTTTTTAAGTATTTATCCCATATATTAATTGAATCTAAACTCCCCGGTTTACGATCGTCTTCTTGTTCTCACTTCGTTTTAACTCGTGTTAAACACTCTTTTACTAAATCTGCATTTTCTTTTTTTGGCCCTTTTCTCTGGAATTCTCTTCCTCCTCTGACTACTTCTCCATCACTTACGAAGTTCAGAACGGATCTCAAAACCCATCTGTTTGCAAAATTCTCTAAGGTGCGCTGTTGAACATCGCGGAAATAGCGCTTTTAAATTAGTTGATTGATTGATCGATTGATTGATTGATTGATTGATTGATTGATTGATTGATTGATTGATTGATTGGTTGGTTGGTTGATTGATTGCCATTTTAAACTATATTCAACACTGAACTTAATGGAATATAATATGAATTGTTGCAATGCTTTGTATCATATCAAATGTAAAATCCAACGAAAGACAAATTTCCAGCTTACTCGATAACACAAAAATCAAACGAGTCACCACGACTCACCATATAACATGCCGTTATAAAGGCCATACAACTCAGGGTATATAACGGTGTATCACCGATGGATACCGATAGCTTTGATACATAATATGCTAATTGCCTCTTTATTTAAACTCTGACTCTGCTATTTGTATTTCAATTCGGTTTCCTACCTGCTCATGCTCACAGTGCTGGAACATACTTACTAAAAATTTATGACGATATCCTCCTCTCTAGAGACATATTAATTAATCTTACACTTCTTGCTTTTGACTTTTCTTCTGCTTTTGATATTGTTGATCATACTATTCTCATGAGACTGCTAATCATTCTTTTAATGTTAATGATTCTTGTCGATCTTGGTTTTCTTTTTTTTTATTTCTTTTTATTCTTTCAATGTTAATGATTCTTGTCTATCTTTGTTTTTTTCTAATCTCTGTAATCGTTTTTTTTCTGTGTACTTAATAATTCTACTTCTAACTCCTCTACTCTTACTTTTGGGGTATTTCAGGTATCTATCCTTGGCCCTCTTCTATTTATACTCTCTATTTCTGAACTACCTCGTATTATTAATAATTTTTCGTTTACTATCAACTATATGCTGATGATTCTTATATTTATAATTTTTTCCTCCATTTAATCTCAATAGTGTTCTTCATAATCTATCTCTGTGTCTTTCTTCAACTATCCCTTTGTCTCACTCTATGTGTTTTAAATTTAAGCCTTCTAAGTTTGAATTATTTTTTAACAAATTTAAACACTCTATTACTATTCCTTTTATTATCTTACCTGATTCTAAAACTCTTGATGCTTTTCATAAGTTTTGTCGTGTAGGCTTTTTCGTTGATTCTAGTATGTTTCTTTCTTTTCAGATTAGTAGTGTTGATAGAAGTTCTTAATTTCATCTACAAAGAATAAAATACTTTTGCCTTTTCTTGACATCCCCACTCTTCACCTTCTTGTTATTTCTTTAGTTTTATCTAAGATTGATTATTGTAACTCGCTCTACTATGATTTCTCTATCCTCCATTATGTAAAGTTTATAACTCTGATGCTCATATAGTTTCTCGTGACCCTTTCTTTTCTCATATATCTCCATATTTTATTCTCTTGCACTGGCTATCTATAAAACATAGAATAATTTTGTTAAAATTTGCACATTAATGTACAAGTCTCAATCTAAATTATTTCCTAAGCACTTATCGATATATTAATTAAACTTAAACGCGCAATAAAGTTTGATAGCATCTCCAAAGTGCAGTTTGTGCTAAAAAAAAGTTCATACTGCGGGCAAGTATCATACGCAGCGAAAAACAAGCTATGCTTTAAGCAGAAGATACATGTAGTGGTGTTGGTGATAATTTCTAAGTCATCAGCAAATTGGAACTTGGCTCTTGATATAATATCGGCTTAAGGGTCCCACACGTAACTACACTGTTAATATTTCTTGTTTTCTTACAGTTTTATCAATAAATTGAAAATAAAACGGTGGTGTGTTCAATAAAATTGGCAAAAGATATAAAAGTATTTCGAAATTTAACAAAAAGATGTTTGCCTTCTGCATCAATGGCTTGTTAAGGAATGAAGGAGGGTCTAAACGTTTACGATCGTCTTTTTGTTCTTACTTCTTTTTAACTTGTGTTAAACAATTTTTTGCTATATTTGTCAGTAACGGATAAAACTTTTGCTAAAAGTGAATGAATGCTGATGACCGGATGACTTCACGTGCGTGCTGCGTGCATTCATCACTATAGAATAATTTTTTAAATTTGCACATTAATATACAAGTCTCAATCTAAATTATTTCCCAAGTACTGATCAGATACATTAATTGAACCTAAACGCCCCAGTTTACGATCGTCTTCTCGTTTTTCTTTTTAACTCGTGTTAAACATTCTTTTCAAACCCTTTTCTGGCCTTTTCCTCTGGAAGTCTTTACTTCCTTTTCTAACTACTTCACCATCACTTACGAATAAACAAAAAATTATGATACCATCAGTCATCATTTTTTTCGCTTGACACTCATCCACAAGGCTGATGCTTGACTGAATCGTGGCTCTAATCCTTTGATCGTTATTGCATCCCCAGGCTGTAAATTTAACTGACCACTGATCTTTTTACTAGTGCAGCATACAGTGCTTTGTTCTAACTCTTCGTTGATGCATACATTGATACACATTTTAAAATTCAGTTCATTGTGCTTACTGGCGATTATATTTATTTGGCATGTGTGAAATGTTGCTGAAAACCCTCACATTCAAACCAGCTTCGTGACTATCATTCGAGCTAATACGCCGAGACTCATCTAAGCTGTTGATAGTTCTTGTGACAGAATAAACTCTAAGGTGCGTTTTGGTATTAAATCCTTTTTTCTCGATCACCACACATCAATTTAAATTAACAATCTCAAGGCTTCGAAAGTAATGGTTTAACGTACTGTGTAGTTTCATCCCAAAACTAAAGTAGGATTTTTCTGTTTTACCAACGCGAAGAATTCATTGGGTTTAATTTGAATTCCTTTAAATGAGATATTTTAATTTTGTTGTAATTTTTCAAACTTTGCATTAATTGCATGCAAACATATTTTGGCTTTTTCGTTCAAATTTATTATCAACAAATTAACTTAAATTCCATCCTCTATGTGGTAGTCTTTAAAAGACATGTTCAAAGAAGCAGGGACGTCTCTGAGTTCTAAAGGACACGTTTCTAATAAATTTATTGACTGAGCAAAAAATCTGTTTCATTGTTTTTCTTGTATCATTTTCAGCAACATCCTTTCTACTTACGCTCGTCGTATCGCTAATTCCTGACAACGAACGCTCGATTATTAACTCTTTATTAATATATAGCACGAGGCTAGGTCCGCGGTAAAATACCGCAACTTTTTTTCTTGGCTGATGGTAATTTCCGCTACAAACAGCATAAATTTGACTGACAAAAATCCTAATTGAGTCGTAGTGGGAGAAGAGGGAAAAATTGAATTTCTCTTTACAGCATTTACAAATTTGAAGATATAGATTCTTTCTTTAAAATGTTTAATTTGTATTCATTGGTTGGTATATTATCACAAGTTAGCGATGTACGTGTCCTCTGATAATAATTACAATCTAGCAATGCGACATCGTTCTCGAAAACATCGAAGTGGTTCGTTATATGTTGATTTTTGTTTCAGGGGCCAAAATTTTATGGTCGATCTTTTGAGAGTTCATCTGCATTTGATGTATTGTTTAAACAATTATATTTAATTGATACTCCAATTCAGATATTCTATCAAACCAAGGTATAAGTGCCTCATGCTCTCTTCAGTCTCCAAGTTCAAGTTAACTTTCAAGTCAATTTAATCAAGAAGCGGAAATTTCATAAAATATAAAATTTACGTCTAAGAGAGGGGAAAATTGAATTTCTTTTTACATCAATTACAAATTTGAAGATGTATATTTTTTCACAAAGATTTTTATGTTATTATATATTTATTGGTTGATTAGCCCATTAACCCTATACCTACGTAAGTCGCCGATGAAGATTGTTCGTAATTCACGACAGTTTACGAGCAATTAACTAACAATAATATCCGGTATGAAAAACAAAATCAAAAAACTAAAACGCAACAAAACAAAATGTACATCAACAACGTCCAATTTTAACTCATAATAATAATCTAACACACGTCCAACTTGCCAACCGTGTCTTGCAATGGTCTGACTAACCATGAACGTATTACATTTAGTTAAATATAAATTAATCTACAACCATATGGATAATGAAGGCTGCATCACTATGCATTCATTCGAAAATTTGCACACTTTATAAATAATAAACATGTCATAAGCGAATCATCACGGGACGTAAATTGAAATAAAATAAGCAGCATTATTTAATATCTTTTGATTGCAGGTCTGAAATTATTTTAATATGCCATGTGAACGAAAATGATTAAAAATTTATAAAAATCGAAGATAACTTGAATAATGTCTAAAAATCATGCATAACATCTTACAAAAATAAAATTTTGAGACAGTTATTCTAGTTAATTATTTGCACCTTTTGTCAAAAACTCTAGAAACTGTGGAAAGTGTTTCATCTAAGAGCGTTTGGTAGAGTGATTCAAACGCTGCTGTTTTAACATCTTCGACGTCGTCGTCATAATCGATCCAACCTTCCTCTTCAACTCTCAAATCTCTTGCAAGCAACTGTTCAACAAAATCTTTTTTGTTGTGATCCATTTTGCTCGTTTTTGTTGTGGCAGAGGCCATCGTACTTTTAAATTGATTTGGCAGCGATGAGAGAATCAAATCGATTACAATGGGCTTCAGTTCATCCAAGATATGTGGAAGCTTCTTTGTAGCCAACCTCCTCTTCAAGTTATAATTTTTGTAAGCCAGATATTTCACAGGACCAGTAAAGAGACCAGCATGATTGTATGATTGCAGTTGATCATTACCCTCGCAACACACACTATCTTCTCTCGAGTAGATATCGATCAAAACCTCTCCAATGTATTCGAAAATCATTCTTCTGAATGTTACTTCACATGGCATTAAGCTAGATGTCATTACAACATCATTTGTACCATCTGATGATTTTCTTGATTGACATGAGATGAGGAATGAATGAGGAGCAGGTTGGTCCACCCACGATTCACCAAACCTGCGCAAATTCCAATATATATCAAGAGATTGGGAGACAAGTTCTCTCAGAGTTGAAGTGTCGGTGGGAACAAAAGTCAAAACTCGCTGGGTAGCACGCGGAGGCATTGGATGGGGTGGAGGGGATTCCATTTCGACACTACCAGTTGTTTTTCGATTATGATCATCATTTGCTGGTGTTGGAACTATTGCTCCAACCGATGAATCTGTGGCAATAGTTGTGGCTTCTTTGTTCAACCCTAATTTTAATAAAAATTCATATAACATTTAGAAGTAGGTTCATATTTTTTTTATTTATTTAAAGGATAACAATATTTATATTTATTGTAGCTTAATGGAAATTTAAACTTATCATGATGAAGACATACATACAAAATAAACACAAAAGGCTAAAAATGAGATATTACAAAATTGAAAAGCTTTAAAAAAGTTGTATTATATATTAACATTAGAAAAGTTAATTTATTTCTAATAATCACAAAACGTACGATCTTTAGAGGTTAGACTATCAACTGATAGCAGTGAAGATGAAGACGACGCAGAGGAGGGGGGAACGACAGACTTTTTAGAATTAAAATCGAACAAATAATCATCATCAAGCCATCCGTCATCGGAGTCATGCTGCGTACAAAAAGGTATGGGCATTGTTTGACTTAAGATAAATAAAATGTTTTACAATGATTTAAAAAAATTTGCACTTTGTGGCTGCCGGCGCGATGGCCTAGTGGTTAAGGTCGCCTGGTGCAGCTTCGCAGTGCGTGCAGTGACCGGGTACGAATATAACAAAAACCTCCCCGCCTAACACATGCTTCGCTTGTGATGCGTCGCTTAGCATGTATTCGTATTCACGTGAGCTGTTCGTTTGTTGATTCCTCTGAAGCAAGGAAGGTGTAACAGACCTTTAAATTTTAACTCTTCTAACCTTTAATTTCGAAGCATCTTAGCTCCACTTTCATGCAGTGAAAATTACAGCAGCAAAAAAGTGATAACAATAAATATAATTTTCGAATGTCTACAAAAAACCAAAATCTAACATGGGATGCAGCTTCAACAAAAGATTTAACTTCTGGCTGTTTTCTGGCACTCCTATGAATATCTTTTGAGGCTATTCATTTTGTTATAATTCACATTATTAAAAAGATATTCATTATAAAATGTTGCCATTTCTAATCGTAAATTATAACAAAATTCTGTTTAAACTTTTAGAGAAAGAAACATAAGATTCATATATGTTTTCGTTATTGAATAAATGAATTAAAGATCTGTTTAAAAACGTTAGAATCATCATTACCAGCTTTTGAAACGAGACTGTCGACAGATGATGGTGTGGAAAGTGAAGATGATGATGTCAGAGACGTTGGAGGAGGTTCTTCCTTCATGACCTCTTCAACACTCTCCCTTACTTCAACGTCTGTCGAACACACAAGTGAATATATATGTACATGAAAGAGAAACACAAAACTAAAGTTACTAGACAAATCTTGGACAACAATTATTGGAAATTTAGAAACTGCTTTGCTGTGTGCAATCAAATTCGACTCATGCATGTATCCCAATGTAAATAATATATTAATTGATTAAAAGCGTACATCATACAAACCTTCAAGTTTTATAGATGTAGAACCACTACAATCTAGTTTCATTTCTAAAATGTTAGTTTCTTGATTACAGGCAAACGATTTAATGTCTGAAATTTCATTGAAGTTTTCAATATTATCAGAACTTTTGTGTGAACCCAATGTCCTGATTTCAACAGTCTCATTGTCTAGCAATTGCGACGTAACAGTTGACCGTTGTCCTTCATCCAACTGTTTCTTAATTACAACCGGTTCCGAAGATTGTTTCATATTTTCTTCAGATTTTGAGATAATTTCATCGTCTGATTGTTTATCATGCGTTTCATCTAACAGTGGCATTATAACTTGCGGTTCTGATTCACATTGTTGCAACTGATTTTGCTGTTTTAATAAATTCTGCCGATCGACTGGATTATGATTATTTGGCGGATAAATACTTTGATCATCTTCGTTTTGATGATGCCCACAAATTGCATCACCCTTTCTTTTTGTAGTAATACAATCAAAAGCGTTTATCAGTTGCTTTGTCGAACTATTCATTGTATTTTGAGGGATGTCATATTGATGTTGACTACAATTTTCTTTGTTAACTTGGTTCAAGTTTTGTTGAATGACTGTTTGGTTATCTTTTTCAATATCAACATCAACATCAAAATCTTTTTTGCTCTCATTTTCAACTTGCTTTTGTTCAAAAAGATCTCTAGGATGGCAGTTTGTCTGATCTTTGTTTTCTTCGTTTTCATTGTTCAAAGAATTAATTAAGAATGGATTGGATGATGACTTCTGTTCGATTGTCACTTTATGTCGACCTTCAACAATGGTAAGTTCAATAAGATTCTCTTCACTACTTTTTACTTCATCGGTATTTTCGGGTAATCTTTCTTCAACTTCTGAATGTTTAGGGGAAGCATCTTTTTGTTTTTTTTCTTCATCGATAGTGTATCTCAAACAAGATAATGCTGAATTTATTTCTGTTAGACTATCTTCATTCATTTGTTTTTCACCGAAATCTATTGTGGTTCCAGTTTGCCCAAAGTTATGTTTATGCTGTTTATCATTCTGCATGGCATCAACATTTGATGAAAAAATCGGAATATGATGTTCTGGCAGCAGTTTATTAGGCTGTTGCAGCTTTGCTTCTTCAAGTTTTTTTTGCAGGAATTGTTGCTGGTGTTGTTGTTGAAACGTTGGCTGTTCGAGTGTTAGATCATTCAAATTGTTAAGTTTTTTTTGACACTCCTATATATTACAAATGTGAAAAAATTATTTCATACTAGTTGTATTGCTTCAGAATAAAACATAAGTTATAATCCAAATTTTAAATATGACAAAAACAATTAGTGGAATCAATAAAAACATAAAAAATATTCACCTGGATTATTTCAATTAATTCATTCCTTGATTTAGCTGAAAATATTTTTGCAAAATTATTAAAAAATATAATTTCATTATATGAAATTAATAATTACAAATGCTGGTAAAAATTATTTTTTAGACAGCTTTGTTACCTTGTATAATTGTTAAGAACAAATTTTCAACTTGAGTTTCATGTTGTTGCTCTTGTTTATCCGCTTGAAGCAAATCAATGCTTTCTGAGCGCTTCCTATAAAAATAAATTCAATGAATTAATTAAATTTATGTTGCACAAAGATGCTAACACGATTGTCATCAGAATTATCCAAGAGATTGACAACAATTTTGTAAAATTTGAAAAAAAACACTCAAATATCAATATCGTTATTTAGTCTTAGTAAATATTCAGTTTTTTGCATTATGCCATTCCCTTGTACGAGATGATTTTTTGTGTGTTCGATAAATCAACCGTGTATTATAAAGATTAGTTTTGTTTTTGATAATCGTCTAATGCAAAGGCCTCAAAGGCATCAAATTATTCGACATCACAGGATCACTCTCATCATCTGGCACATAAAATATGCATCTGCACCTACACAACACAACAACTACAATTTCTCATAAAAAAAATTAATTCGCCTCAACTACCTAACATCATCATATAGTATAGATTGTCATAAAAGCTGAAATTTTCAATGTGTTTTCAACCTTTTTATTCTACAACAAAAACTAATTTTTAGCCATTGAATTAATTTTCAGAATGTGCTTTTTCAAAATACACATAAGTGAAAAAATGATAATTATCATTTTTTTACCCATGTGTTTCACTTATCAGTTTTTAAAAGCTCTTTTTCAATAATTGTTAATTATAATTAACAATTATTGAAAAAGAGCTTTTAAAAACTTATATGATCAATGAAATTAGAAAGACGTATAAAATCATGTATATAATTGATAAGTTAAGAATTTATAATGATCAAAAAAATAAAATCTTTAATTTTCAGAATTGAACAAAAATATTTGAAAAAAATTAGAACGGAAATATGTTTGGCAAAAACAAACGAAAACGGAAACTAAATAAAACATCAAACTAAATTTACGTTAAAAATGTAACATCACCAAGTAAAAAAATCCCAAAACCTATCGGGAGGTTGACATCTGGTGAATGCGATTCCATCACTATGGCAAGTAACCATTTCTAAGGGCTGACTACTTCTTAATGCTTTCAAAGTTTAATTGAACGAATGAATGAATGGTTTCATGCAGTTCAGTTTTTAAGTTTTTTTTCAAAAATGTTTAAACGTTCAATTCTGCTGCAAAATATTTATATAATTCAACTTGAAAAATATTTATTGGTCAGTCACATCACCCTTAGCACAGAAATAGAATATTATTATGAATAACTATACAAAATTGAACGTTAACATCAATTGTTAAACCAAAAAGTATGCATCCGATGGTGCTCAATTCTATATATATATATATATATATATATATATATATATATATATATATATATATATATATATATATATATATATACAATATTCTATAAATTCTACCGAATGTTAATATCCTTCGTTGTAAAACGAACTACAAACATATTAACGCCAAACATTCGGTAGAATTTATAGAATATTGTAGAAATTATGGTCTATTACCAACATATATATATATATAAATATACTTTCCAAAGAGTTGGCCCAGCAACAGATATGCTTCTTGCTCTTATATTCAATTGTGCCCTATTAATGGCCATCAGATTTAGATCACGAGACCTCAAATGAACGCCTTTCAAAAAAGTTGATTTTCTGTCAAACTTCTCCCTCAAATATATATATATATATATATATATATATATATATATATATATATATATATGCAATTATTGATAAAAATAACAGCACTAATATGAATATTTAACGGTCATTTAATTAGTCATTAGGATCTTCAACTTTGTGCAATGTGACACTTCTACGTGTCGTCATTATCGATGTTAGTGGGAAGGATACCAACTGCACGTTGTTGAATATTTATTGCCGATAGTGGGAAGGACTCTAAATGATTCTTCCTTTTCTTTGTTATTAATTATTGTATTGTTATTATAATAATTATTAGAGAATTTATATCCTAGCGGCCTTTAAAACTTCTCAAAAACACTGCTCAAGTCATGTGGTTTAATTCATAAAAAATGAGTTTTCATTTCTTTACAGAATTGTTGAAGAGTTAATTAATCCAGGCTGATGAAAGTGGCGTGGTAAATCATTCCAAACTGTTGGACCAGCGACGAAAAATTCCTATTTCTAACAATAATAAAAAAATGTTAGGAATGGGATGAATAGTTCAATATACAGCTTGAAAATTCTTGTTGGAACAAGGTCGTTAGAAAACGATTTCACAGGCGAACTAAGAATTATTTTTATAAAAACATCACCATTTGAGCATAAAGAAAACTTGCAAAACACTTCAAGACATGATCTACAATGAGAAAATTAAGACTAGTAGCAGAACTAACTAATATGTTAACTAACTTTTCCTATTTTGTCTTAGAAGAATGATGCAAATTGTAACGTCGTGAAGTCTGTTGAGTTACATACAAAAGCATCAGCTGAATTTTTTTAAATATGATAGTTTGTTTACTGACGCCCATCATATTTTTGGTCGAAACTTATTAGCGTGAATAAGATTCTTCCAATACAGTTTCTTTTTGTCAATGAAAAGAGAAATTTTGCACAGAAGAGCCTTCTTCCAAGAAATTTTTCAGCTTCGTTAGTACTATGCCTCTACACACTCTTTCCAGTTTACGACAGAACCTTTTCATATCCCTGCATTTGTCGTCAAACCAGGGGGCGATATGTGAACTGTTAGAATCAACAAAGTGTAACGGGGCCACGACATCGATTATTGATTGCAAACCCTTAACAAACAAATCAAAAATAGCATTAGGATCACTTCCAGTAAGCGGACTACCGATACATGATTTGGAGACAAGATGAGCAAACAGTTTACCAATCCATTCGGTTCCATGACCAAACCAAACGTTTTTTAATTCGTGGAACAGATTAATAAACGGGAGATTAACTCTAATGAAACTATGATCGTAGTTCACACCACCAGGGAAACCGTGCATTCACTAGGTTGGAGATCAGTGGACGAAACAACAAGATCAAGTGTACAACCAGAAATTAGAGTGGGACCAACGACTCGATTACAAATTTGAAATGTTTCAAAAACATCCAACAAAGCAACAGCGTTTTTGTCATTCAGATATTAAAATATCCTAGAATTAACGATATATTTTATATGACGATTTCAGTATTAACAATTTAGAGGACAAGTTGCTGAATTTCACAATAATAGGTCGTGAAATTCTATCATTTCTTCGACCCTGTCTAGAAATACTCAAAACATTACTGCTGTTGTAGTAATCACCAGCGATCAATTATAATTATCCAAACGAGCAAAAAATTTCTCTCTCTTTATATATATATATACTATATATATATACTATATATATACACTATGTATATACTATGTACTATATATATATATATATATATATATATATATATATATATATATATATTACATACACACACATTCCAAACAATAACCTGATAACTCTCTTATTTTTAGTGAAGCCTCCTTCTCTAACTTTTTGACTTCTTCCTCCTCTTCATCCAACTTTTTTGATCGTTTCAACAATTCAAGAGCCTTTGCTTTTCTATCCTTCAGCATTTGCTCTCGTTTTGTGAGATACCTAACGTGAAATATTGATAATAAATAATGACAATGCAGCTGTTGAAGAAGCTTCATTGTAAATTATATAATGTTAATTTTATTAAATCCGTCATAAAATTTTATTATCATAGCAAAGAGGTAGATAAATTTTTTTGTCAGAGACATAATTTTATTTTTAATTTTAATAGATGAGACAATCACCAGAAATGTCTAGTAAAAAGTTGAAAAGACAGACTGTAAATTAGTTAATGCGAACAGTGATTGGTTATTTTTGGTGTGTATAGTTTTGAATAATTTCGTGTTATTGCCATTTAGATGCAATATGTTGTTGAATCACAAATTTTAGATCTGAGTGTGGAGTTGGTACATTAGATGTTGTTAATGAGCGGCTTTGTCGTATTTTGAAATTCCGTTATGACTTGGGACAAAAACATACGAACCAAGTTTTTTAAATGGACTCAGTCAAAAAAACAGATACGAAGTGCCAAAAGTCTACATTAGGACGGAAAAAAGCAAACAGTCGTAAAAATGAAGCATGCCGAGTGCTCGCGGGCGGCATAAATAGATTGGCGGGCTGCGTGCGCCTTGCAGGCTGCAGTTTGCATACCCTTTCTAAGTAATCGTTTAACTAAGATTTAATCTGCATAAAAATTTTCTATTTTAATATTTTCAAGTTGTTAATTTTCTTCAAACCAATCAACCGCTACTCAAGAAAATTTTATATAAATTCAATCAAAAGATAAAAATCGTAAAGAACAAAGTCTGTTTGAAAAATAACAACCTTTCTTCATGTTTGAACCCATCCCTGAGTTTTTTCAGCAGCATTTTGTTCCTAACACCTAAGAAACATGTAACAAACATAACGTGTAACAACAAGCAAAAAAATTAAAAATTACAATTATAACAAGAGTGTCGAAGTCGGAGATTTTGGCCGGATTCTGACTTTTTTGTGGGGCCGGAGTAGAAGTCGGATTTTTCATCCGATTCCGGAAAATGTTATTAATTTTTTTAAATGGTGTTTTTTGAGAAATAAATTTTATAGTGATAGGTAATTATCTTTAATACACAAAATAAATGCTAAATTATGCCAATAAAATCACATAATTTTTTCAGTTAATTTTAAACATAAAAATACAGTAATTTTACTAAGAAAAACAATTACATTGACTGATTTTAAGTGTTTTTAAATAATTTTTTTTCCAGTAGTAATGAAATAGTGAAATTATGATCCAAAAGTTAAAAAGTTTTTTCATTATGTTTTAAAACATTAAAATAAAGCAAATTTACTTAGAAAAACAATTATCATACATTGACTGATTTCAAGTGTTTTTCAAAGTATATTCTATTTGCTACTGATAATAAGGTGAGATTATGATGCAAAAGTTAAAATTTTTTTCTGAGAGTCGGAGTCGGGAGTCGGAGTCAGAAAGTTTTACCCGGAGTCAGGATTTTTGAAGGGAATATTTTTCATCCGACTCCGACACTGATTATAACGGCCAAAACGTAACGGGCCACAAATGCAACGGGAACACACGTAACGGGCAAAAAAATGTACAAAATATGGCGTGTTAAAACGCATGAAGGAATTGTATACTGAATGGAATCTAAAATTGAACAAATTTAAATAACGAATCCAAACAGCCATCAAATTATTAAATAAAAAACACCAACCAGATGTTTTTTCGTCATTTCTTAAACAAACAAGGGAATCCTCAATGTTCTAAAAATTGAAGTCAAATGAAAATTTTGTTATTAATTTTTTTTTTTTTAAATTACGTGAATTTTGTGAAGTAGCTTTATGATTTATATTTTCCAAACTTTTTAGATCTGTATCGGTACAAGTTACCAAATTTTTCTAATATTTTATAGCAAAAACTCACAAGTGATGTAAAATGACCAACCATAGAGATCTTGCAGGTTAAAAATGATTAAATAACGTTTATGTGGTAAAAAATGATTAAGCGAAATTTAAGATGACATTAATGAACTAACTTACAAAAAATGGTATAAAAAGATAAAAGAATGACAGCAACACAAACCTGACAAGAAGACGCAGATGACAATTCAGATTCAGAGAAGGCAGTGATGCTCTTGTCATCAAATTGTTCCTCATTTCGTTCAAACTTCTTTTTAAATTGAAATGAATTCAAATGAATAAATTTGGTTAGAAGACCAAATAAAATCCTAAGATTTTGTGTTAGGCATCGTTTACAATTGATACAAAATAAAACAGAAATATTAAATTATTATAACAAAAATATTAGAACCATAAAATAGAAATAGAACAATAAAATTAAAAATAATAAAAAATAAAGAAATGGAACTAAAACTGTCTTGATTACTAAAAACAATGGATAGGAAAAGAAAAATAAAAAAAACAGTTTAAAATAAAGAATCAAATAACAAAACGGGTTAACCCCTTTTTTCATCGATTTAAATTTATTTTTAAAGTGCATATATACCAGTAAATAAATGTTGAATGAATGAATGTTCATAATTTCCAAAATTCAAAATTATTATCAGTTGATGAATCTACGTCACCTTAGTTGACTGCTGTTGCTGAACCTCAGCAACAGCAGTCTCAATATTTTGCATCGTTACACAGTTGGAAAGGTGTGGATGGATGGGAGTAGTTAGGTCTGAATTTCTTCTCATTTATTATTATTATTAGAAAATTTGTATAGCACCCTTTAAAGGCGCTATATGAGTCTAGTGGATGATACGAAAATAGAAAAGTTTGCGACTGTTTACGAAATTGTTGAACGGTTAATCCAGGTTGATGCAAATTATTTGGCAAACAATTCCAAACCATTGCAAATGAAATGTTTCAAGTGGCAACGACCAGTTGTATTTCTGACTGATATAAGAGAAATCATCATCTGAACGCAATGGAATACGAATGGCTAGTGTTGATTTGCACGAACTTTAGATAGGTAACATGGATTAATGTCATTCAAGCATTTGAAAACAAGACAAGAATAGCGATCTTAAACCATTTTTTTTAATTGTAAGCCAATGAATGTCAGATAAGGTTTGACTGATATGAACAATCTTCGATACTCCAAAGAAGATTCTAGTCTCACGATTATGGATCAACTGCAAACGACCAGTCTGTAAGTCATTTCTTATTTTCAAAGTGAATATATGCCAATAAATAAATGTTGAATGACTGAAAGTTCTTAGTTTCCAAAACTCAATATTATCATAAATATTAATATATTTGTTTGATTCTTGTAACATACCTTCTCACATTGCCCACACAAAATACTTTTTGCATTGGAACTTTTACTAGCAGTTATTTTTGAGTTAACAGAAAGTTTCAAATCAATAACATAATTTCTTATGAGAGAATATTTGAAGCTTCAGAAGTTTTTTATTTCTGACCACAATGAAATCGTCGTTATTATCGCAATCATTATTATTGAAATTTTCAATGTTATCAGTTTTGAATATCACACAGCACACTAGCCTCAGACTTGCCGTTGTATATTCGTTTGTATGATATTCAAATGTTACCATGTTTGTTTATTTAGCCCATCTAGTCAAACGACATTGAGTTCAAACACTTCCATTAAAGCTCAGTATCACAAAACTCAAAAATCATTGCAATAATTTTCATAAACAAACGAAACCATGTTGAAAAGCTCGATGAATCTGTGCACATGTTGATGCTCAGCTTCTCCACTTTGGTCAAATCCTGAAATCTAAAACTTCTACTAACGAAACATTGGAACAAAACATTATTCATAAAACCATCGTCAGTCCATAAACAATACAAAAATTTGGTTAGAGCAGTGGAACTCATTACAAAACGTGCAGAGTATAAAGAAAATTGATAGCTCAAATGATGTATAGTATAATATTCAATTCAATTTATTCAGCAAAAAGCATGGAGACACAGAAGTTCAAACGAGCTTGTACGGCCACCCTAACCTATATATATATATATATATATATATATATATATATATATATATATGTATATATATATTCAACACTACTTTCAACATTGTTCAACTTTTTAATATTTTTTTTTAATTTATTAATGTCAGAGAACATGACATTAATAAATTTAAAAAAATATAAAAAAGTTGAACAATGTTGAAAGTAGTGTTGAATTTTTGAAATGTTGCGTTAACAACAGTCTGTTACCAAAATATACATATATATATATATATATATATATATATATATATATATATATATATGATTTTATTAAATTGTTGGCATTAATCAATTTAAAGTTAATCAATAAGCCTGCTGGACTTATTCACGGAGATGAATAGCCAGCTTAGTGTGATTTATGATTGGTTTTTGTCCAACTGACAGTGAACATATCCAAGTCTTGTTATGTCATCTTTGGTCCCTCAATAAAGACGAACAAGGTGCCCCTGAGTGGCTAGGAGCTGATTATCCAGGGCATATCTCTTCCACGGGTTCATTCGGTAAAATTTTTGGGAATTGTTATACAAAGTGATCTGAAATGGAATGAGCACATCGACATGATCGTCCATAGGCTGTACCGTGCGGTTGGGATTCTGTTTAGAGTGAGAGACAGGTTGAATGTCAAGTCAATGATCTTACTTTATTATTTTTTTTATCCACATTTGTTATATGGAAATGTGTTTTGGGGATCCGCCAGTAAATATTGGATTAATAAAGTTTTAGTGATGCAAGAACGTTTTATGCAAATAATTTTTTCTTTGAACTTTCGCGATCATACTGATGACGTGTTTCGTAACCATCAAATTCTTAGAACAGAACAATTACATAATTTTATTCTGCTGGTATTTATTTATAAAATACTTATTAATAAAGATTATGAGCAGTTAAATTTGTTGGACAACTACCAGGCAACGTGGTCAATTGTTGTTAAAAAAATTTAAAACTTCCACCTACCAACGTAGCTGGATAATAAGGGGTCCAAAATTATGGAATGATTTGGCCATGGATGGTCAAACACATCTGTCTTTGAAGAGATTTAAGCTATGTGCAAAAGACGCTGTGATGACACATGGGCGTGCTAATTGACTGTGTTTATGTATGACCTTCATTTGTTGTGTGATACAGTACTTTTTTTACTTTTTTTATGCAATGCATTTGTCTATTAACGTGGTTGCTAAATGTATTTAACTAATTTTATGGATGTATTTTTTTTTTACTAATGTCTATTATTGTAATTTTTCGTTTGATTTTAGTCATGGGTGGTCTTCGCAAGTACTTTTGTTACTTTTTTGATCTCCTGACTTTTTTGTCAAATAAATTTGGAAAAAAAAAAGAAAAAAAAAGTTTGTCTTTTCAATCTTTTCAATTTTCCTTACTTGAATTTTCTGGAAATTGTTCAATTTATTGAAAATATAATTACTATCCAAGTTCATCATGAAAATTTAATAAAACTTATCCAAATTCATCATGCAGATAGGCCTTATTTCGATTTTTCATAAATCATCTTCAGTGCTGATTTGGTTTAATTAGTTTCTTTAAACAAAGAAAAGTTAGTTCTTTTGCAAAGTGAGTTATTTAGTTGGTGTCGTATTCTTCATCTTTGCTTTTGTCATTTCTTTGTTCTTCATTGTTATTGAAGTTAGTATTAAGACGTCGAGTTGATAATGATGTTACCATTCTTTGTTGGATGTTTGTTTGGAGTTAATTGATATCTATTAGGACAGCTTCAGCAATTTTTAGATGTATTGTATTGGTGTTTTGATAAATTATTTTTGTGTTGTTGTCAAGAGTTTGGCGGGTTATTGGAGTTGCATGTGTTGATTGTAAGTGAGATTTGGTGGCTCCTCTTTGTGTATGCATTGTCAGATATCTTGATAGTGAAGTGGTCGTAAGACCAACATACGAATGTTGTTGACGCACACAGCCGTCAATAAAGAATTTAAATTCATATATTACATGATTACGCTTCAAAGTAGAATCGTCTTTAGGAGTGCAGTTATTCTTTAGGACGAATTGTAATGTCCAACAATTAATAAAGTAGTCCTGAGTTGAACAAAGATTACAACAAGATAGTTCAAAAGCAACAATAACAACGACATAATCCTATATTAGTGAAATCATGTCAACGGCACATAAAATAGACGAAGTCGTTCTCAAACAAATCATAAAAAGGAACGTTACACCAAATAATGATACTAATAAAATAAACTCATTATATATATATATATATGAATATAGATATATATATATATATATATGAATATATATATTATATATATGTTGGTAATAGACCATAATTTTTACAATATTCTATAAATTCTACCGAATGTTTGGCGTTAATATGTTTGTAGTTCGTTTTTTCGATTTTTCTCACTAAAGTTTTTTGGTGAACGTTTAGTTTATTAAAATTAAAATTAAACTTATTTTTCGACAACCTCACTTCCAACCCGGCGCTTAAACAACAACGAAAACAAAGAAGTAATAAAAACTAGCCTCGTAGATAGTGACAAAGAAGAATATGATGCTATCGATGAAGAAAAGGAGACCAAAGAAGACCAATAAAGAAACCTGACACCTAATTCGCATCAAAGTTCAATTTTACAACACCAAAGTTAATTTTTACAACGTCAAAGTTCATCTTGGCAAAGTCAATATTTCCCTATATATACAGCAAGGAGCACTGATGATGATTCATTCGGAATCGAAATATGGCCTTATTTGCAGCATGAATTCGAAAAATAAGTTTATTTTGAATTTTAATAAACTAAACGTTCACCAAAAAACTTTAGTGAGAAAAATCGAAAATAAGAACTACAAACATATTAACGCCAAACATTCGGTAGAATTTATAGAATATTGTAAATATATATATATATATATATATATATATATTCATTTATGTAAGTTGACTCACATATGATGGGTACACATCATCAGCTCCCTTCTTTATAGATGAAAACGTTTTTTTAAAAACTTGTGTTGTTGATGTTGGCGGTTGTTCTTGTCTTGATGATGATAAGGGTGGCTGTTGCAGTTGTAAGTTGGGTGGTTGTTGTAAATTGGGTTGCTGGTGAGTCCTTAATGGATGATGTCCATGATATAACACAGAAGATGACTTTGATTTCACATTCCCACCAAGTGCAAGTGCTTCTTCTTTCACTTTCTTCATAGAAGTCTGAACATGAGGTTAAACACAGAAAAACAGTCATTTCAATTAATGGGATTCGACCGCTATTTTTCAACGGTTACATTTAACCTATTCACCTCTATAAGAATATAAGGAAGCAATATTTTCCTGAATTTAACGTGTTTTAAGTTAAAATCTCCTATAAATATTAAACATTATAGCTAAAGTATAATAAAAAAATGCGACATGATTCGTGAAAATTTAGCAACATAAATCTAATCAATTTTCAGCTTTAATGATTTATCAATAACTAACCTTCAATTCCTGTCTAACTTCCTCTTGAAATATATAGGACTTCGCCATGCTAATGTTGAAATCATTTAAGGAATCATCTGCTCCAAAAAATAACTTGGAATGTTTCCTAGAACTTTTTGCATTAATATCTGTGAAACCATCAAATAATTTACCATAAAACACCTTAAGCTTTTCTACGAGGCTAGTAACAAAATAACAAAAACCTATCGCTGTTATGATTCTTTATTATGCCTATCTAACAAAACAGAAAAAAAAATCATAAAATAATAATTGAGAAAGCAGTTAGTAACCATTAGCTTTTGATGCGTTGTTCGTCAGTGCACCACTTGAAGCTTGTTTCCTTAATTTCTTACACAAGTCCTCAGAAGGAAAGACTTCTCTTAATGAATATTCAACATCTCCATCGGTCAGTGTTGTCATAGAAATATCATCTATCGTTTCATCAGCTGTTCATGATATTCAACAAAATCGTCATCTAAGTTTTCATACTGACTTTTATACTGACAGTTATAATTTAAATAATCTTTAAAAAAGTTTAATAATACTTACTTATTGATAAGTTATCCAAATGTTTCAAGTCATCGGGAATCCTGCGTAATATTTTTATCCCGTTTATGCCAAATAATCATTTATAGCCAAAAACGAATAACAAAATAAAGCTTGAAAAGATTTCAAGAAAACTTCCATGCCATGGCTTTACAAAATATATGCAGCGTACACTGTAAAATGATTTGCAAGAAACTGTATAGAAACGCATATAAGAGCACATATGAGCGACAATCTATACACAAAACAGATGTGATACACCGCGATAAAAATGAAAACGGCTTAGCTGATCGACGTGATTCTTGATTTTTTTCAAACGTCTCTGTCTCTTGTAACATTTTGGACATTCAAAAATTTGAAAAAATTAGAATTTTTTATACTTTTCAAGCTTTAAATAGGCGCCCTATATTTAACCTAAAAGATTTGAGATACTGAATGTAAAATGAACGTGCGGAATGCCCATTGTCTTCATATATATCAAAACATGGAAATTGAAATTTCATAATTTGTGAATTAAAACTGTTAATATAAAACTTAGAAGTTAGAGGATATCATAAAAATAACTTCATTTACAATTTAAGTAAGAAAAAAACTTAATAATAATCATTGAAGTAAAATAAAGAAGATATTTATTATCGCATTATTCTTATTTTTTTGGTTGGTCAGAACAAGTACGTAAAGTACACACTCTCTCACCACGACCAAAGGTGCAGTACTATGAACACCTAACTTGTTATAGGCTAGACGCGTCTACTCCCTTATGAAACTCATCAGTTTCCCGAGTTAAAAAAACAACTGAGTGCAATTACTATCCCAATAAACATTATTGCAAACTAAGGTGTTTTTTGGGTGATTCATAGAAACACATTTTGGTCGATTGAGCCGTATGTTACTCTGCCGAATAAAAAAATAGTGAGTCGACTTGAATCTACAAATACGTGAGTTTACAAATGGGTGAGAATTTCCGATCTTCTTCCGCGTTTACGTCTAGCCTAGAACGAGTTAGGTGTGCACAGTAATGCACCTTTGCAACTTTACTTCTGGGTTGGATGCGAAAACGGAATAGCAGGTGTGAGTGTACTAATAGCGGAAAAGTGGATAGATAGCGTAGTGGAGGTAAGGCGTGTGAATGAGCGTGTGATGGTGTTGAGATAAGCTATTGGGAAATTCTTGCTGAATATTGTTTCAGTATATGCACCCAAGTAAGAAGGCCAGTAGAAGAGAAAGAAGGGTTTTATACCTTTTTTGGTGTGCTAAAAGATTTGGTGAAAATGAGATTTTGATAGTATGCGGTGATCTGAATGTTGATGCTAGAGTGGATGGATTTGAAGCAGTGCGTGGAGGGAAAGGGTACGGGAGCTAGAGTGTGGTGTGCTTTGGCTAATTTTCGAGAACTAGTTCCGATTCTGACAGCAAGAGGTGCTTTTTAAAGGTAAAAGGAAAAATATACAATACGTATGTTCAACGTGTGATGTGTATGGCAATGAGACATGGGCCATGAAAGTGGGAGATAAGCAGCGTATGGAAAGGGCAAAAAAATGATGATTAGGTGGATGTGTGGCGTAACACTGAGGGACAGGAAAACGAGTGAAGAACTCCGAAAAGATTTAATATATTAAATGTGTGTGATAGGGTGAGACAGGGTAGATTGAGATAGTTTGGACATGTGGAACGGAGAAACGGAGAGAGGAGGATGACTGGGTGTCAGCATGTAGACATGTGATAGTTGACGGGGAGAAGGGTAGAGGGAGAGGAGGACAAATTTGGAAGGAATGTGTGGCAGATGACATGAGAAAGATGAAGTTGAGAAGGAAGATGCACAAGACCGCGTGTATGGAGGAGTGGCATCCTTGAAAACCGTCCAACCCGTGCAAGCGCGGAAGTACGGACATTAAAACGATGATGATGAACAATGAACATTGATAAATTATGTACGCAGCTTGGATCGTAAAATTTTTATTATATCCACGAGCCTAGTTCATTTACTGACCAATAAAGATACAGGCCAAAAAAGTATCGCAGCGCAATCACAATCAGCTAACCATCCAGTAGTCAAGACATCCATGGTTTATCGGCAGCTAAAAATATTAATATTTATATGGTATAAAGAGTAATTCGAAATGATGAAAAAAGGAAGGTCAATCAAAATTTCGGCTCACACCAAACATTATATTGATGCAAATATTGCAAAAAATTACTTCAGGCCGCACACTTTTTTTTAACTTCTTGCAAGTGGTGTAAAATAATAAACTAAAAATTTTCATCTTGGGAAAATTTATTAATAAAGCTAACATGAAATACATATTTAGAGCGTTTAAATAAAAAACAGGGTTTTAAAAAAATTTATAAAAAGTGTTATTATTATGTTGATTAAAATTGACTTGGAAATTATTTTTTAACTTTTCAGATAGGTCCTACGTATGTGTATTCAATTGGTATAAGAGAAAAAATGAATACTAATTGGTTAATTAAATCAAATCAATGAACCTGAAATAATTGAGCATTCCTCCGCTAAAGAGCCCTGCAATCTTGAAAAATAAATTGAAAACTTTATTTATAAATAAAATATGTATTATAGCAAAAAATAATAACATTGAAATCTCTGTGGTACGTACATTTTCATTTGTAAGCACTGTATCTCCATCAGCATCAAGTGGTTTCCCAACTTCATTTGCATGCCCATTAGTAATTTTCTTCATCAATAGGTTGTTCACATTTCTATCGCTAACAGCTAATTTGTTGTCAGAACATGACGAGCGTATTGTTGACGAAGGCTTGAGAACAACTGGCAGGGATGATGGTGGCAACGACGATGACAGTGTGGCAGTTGTTGCTTCTGGTAAATTAACTGATAATACATTTTTCGGAGGATCAATATTGTTTTCACAATCAACATATTTCTGTGTTTGTAATTTTGAATCCTTTGCAATCTTAAGCTCATTTGAAGACTTCTGTTGTGAATGTTTGTCTGACTCAAGTTTTTGTGTTCCTGTATTTGATTGTTGATCTGATTGAATATTTTTATTATTGTGCAAAGCGGAGTTTTTCACAAGTTGTGTGTGTTTGTGGATAAGAAGATGATTCAATTGTGATTGCTGTTCCTGGGTTGATTTTTCTTGTACAAAATTCTCGTTTGTTGAAGTTCGAAGAAGACGTTTATGCACATTTGATTGCTGTGATTGAGAAGCTGTATAATGGGATTTTTGTAGACTCTTTGATGAATATTTCTGTCGCAAATTTTCATTTACAAAAAATGACTCTAAGCCAGATTTGACATTTTGATTCTTTAGCCTAGAAAACTCCATATCTACAAAATATAAGTTTATAAACAAAAACAAACATATATATATATATATATATATATATATATATATATATATATATATATATATATGTATATATCAATCAATCAATCAAATTTTATTCAATCAATCCAAATTAATAATAATTAAGTAATGATTAGGAGACCAAAGCTAAAAGAAAACAAAATTCTAGTGTCGCAGGCCACCGTTCACAAATTGTTCATTCTAACACAATTTTTAAGTAAATTTATAATTCATGACAAAATTAACATAATGCACAATTTACATGATTCTAATTAAATAAAAATTGTACTTTTTTTCAATAAATATTTCTTTATTTTGTTTTTAAACAAATGCAAGGAATTTGTAGTCTTTATATCAACAGGAAGTTTCTCCCAGATTCCGGGACCGGTATGTTTTAAACTTCCACCAAGCAGTGTTATTCTTGCAGGTGGTGTATAGAGCAGAGGAGAATGTCGAGTGAACTTTGACTGCACAGCATTTCCGAATTCGAAGAAGTCATTAAAAGATGTTGGTAGTTGATAATGTAGGAACTTGAACACAAAGATAGAAACATGATAATTATACAAATTTTTTATGTTTAAAATTTTCAGTTCAGGATAATAACAGCTGACATGACTATATGGATGTAGATTTAATAGAATTTTGATGAAACGATTTTGACATCTGGTAATTTGCTTCAAGTGAACTTCAGGGCTGTTTCCCCAGATGATGTTGCAGTATATTAGAAGTGGATAGATTAATGAATAATACAAATCTATAATTATTGGTTTATTCAATCTTACTTTAATTTTATTAATTACGCCTATGGTTTTATTAATTTTTTTCGATAACGAGTCTATATGCATATCCCACGAGAAGTTGTCCTTGATTATCACTCCGAGAAATTTTGTGCTGGATGTACGCGGGATGCTATGGTTATTCATTTTTATATCTAAATTAGGTATTGCGTTAGTCAATCTTTTTAGACCGAATAGAATGTAGTTGCATTTAGAAAAATTTACAATTAGTTTATTATTGATGAACCAATTTGAAACATCATCTAAACTTTTATAAATTATCTCTACATCGTTTGATGGATTGCTAGTTGGGAAGAAAATGTTAGTATCATTTGCATACAGAAGATGATGAGCATCAGTAGCCAGATGAAAATCATTCATAAAAATTATAAATAGAAGTGGGCCTAAGATTGATCCTTGCGAGACTCCTGAAGTTACATTTAATTTATTTGAAGATTTATTTTTTATCGACACATACTGATTTCTGTTTTGCAGATAGCTTATGAACCATGTATGTGCTATTCCTCTTATTCCATAGGAGTATAATTTCTTTATTAATATCTCATGATTAATAACATCAAATGCCTTGGACAGGTCTATGAAAACACCTATGGTTAGGATTTTTTTATTCAGATTATTTAATATGTTTTGTACTAAATGTAGTACAGCTAGTTCAGTTGAATGTTGTGCTCTATATCCATATTGATTTTTATTTAATAAATTATTAATATTCAAGAATGAAGTTATTCTGATAAATATAATTTTTTCCAGTACTTTAGAAATAGGTGAGAGAAAGGATATTGGTCTGTAATTGTTCATTTCCATCTTGGATCCTTTTTTATGAATAGGTATTATCTTGGATGTTTTGAAGCATTTTGGGAATATTCCTTGACTGATGGACAAATTGAATATATGTGTTATTGGATGTACAATTTCTGAGATGATTTGTTTTAAGAGATAATTACTTAATGAGTCATCAGAGGTGCTTTTTTTATTGCTAAGATTCTTGACGACTGTTAATACCTCAAGTTCATCAGTGGAGTTAATGTATATGGATTTACAAATGTAGTTGTTTATTTTTGAAGATTCATTAACTGTTTGATTTTCAAGCAAATTTTCAGTAATTTTAATAAAATATTCATTGAAACAGTTACACATTTCTTCTGCATTATCGATTATGTTGTTATTGTTGACTTTTATTTTATTGATATCATTCAACTGTTGATTTTTATTCATTATACCATTATTATCTCCACTTTTTCTTTGAACAGCTTTTTGCATCATTAAATCTTTGACTAAAGTAAATTTTTTCTTCCTTTCGTTTAAATGATGTAAAATTATTTCTGAATCGCTCATATTTATTTATATTCTCTGTAGTAGGTGTTGAAATTGTCTTTTTATAGAGTTTATTCTGTTTCTTTGATAATTGAATATTTCATCACTTACCCATGGCTTTTTATTTATCCGTTTCAGCGGTTGCAATGGGGCGTAAATATCAAGAATTCTATTTAATTGATTATAAAAATTCATGCAACAGGTGTCAATGTTACTCTCATCCGTTATTGAATCCCATTTTTCAGAAGATAGAGCTTCCTTAATTAGGGAAATGTTTCTCTTATTTATGTTCCTTTTCAAAGTCAGAGTATCTGTAGTGACAAATCCTGTATTTTCTACAACTGTATAAATTGGATAATGATCTGAAAAGTCTGATATTATTATTCCATTATAACATTGTTGATTTAAGTTAAAAAATATATTATCTATTAGTGAAATTGAGTTATTAGTTATCCTAGTTGGTAAATCAATCAAAGGTAAGAAGTAATGCGACAAAAGTAAATTTTGAAAATCTTTGGAGGTTTTATCCATTAGATTAATGTTAAAATCTCCGACAATGAAAATTTTATCAAGTGGATATATATATATATATGTATATATATATATATATATACATACATACATACATACATACATACATATATGCAGTGATTTATGAAATATACCGAATTTCAAACCAGATTTTTGTCGTCATTGGTTATATTACCAAAGTTAAAACATACAGTTGTATTTTATATTGACATTTTAAGAATGTTGATATTTTTTACAATTTTAAGCGTGAAAATATGACAAAGTTATATCTTACAATAGTCATAGAGCATGACTGCTGCAGTTTTGTTATTAACAAAGTAGTAGCCATAATTTCAGTCGATGGTTAAAAGTATAAAAGCAATAAACGAACTTTGAAAGAGAGATGTCAGTTGTGAAGTGTTGTTTGAAAGAGACAGTGCAGACTGTTTTAATGAAAGAAGTCGGTCATAGTGTTTCGTTCGTGAAGCTTTTGGTGTTATTACTGTCGATGGGGAGGTTGACACTAGCGAAGAAACCGCTTGGAAATGTGCGGCACTGATAATAAACAATAATCAATCAGTTAGTTAGTAGAAAAAAATTGAAGCTGATTATAAATAATGCGGGTGCGAGTAAAACAGAACTAACTTGCTCAGCAATGTTGTTGGCAATGTTGTGCCTGCTGTCAATGTGTCTGTTACTGTTTTCTGAAATATAATTCATATTAAAAATTTGAAAAATTAATATTTAAATTTTGAAATAAAATTAAGTGCAATCAAACTAAAAAAAACTTTAAAATTTAACCACAACTTTAAAAAATTACTTCAAACAAAGAAAGAACAGTATAAAACCTCGTTTATAATATTTTGCTGATGTGAAATTTTTTTATTCTTCTGATGTTGATCTATCTTTAGTTGATGTTGCACAATCTGTTGAATGTGAACGTGTTGTTGCTCCGGAACATTATTCTGAGGATTAGGTTGCCGCTGATTGTTCAATCCGTGAGATTTTAAATTGTTTAACGTATCTTCAATTAAATTTGATGTAGTAGCGCTGTACGTAATTCCAGAACCGTAATTAAACTTATCAACTTCATCATCAAGATTATTTATGTTGTTTGGTTTACTACCAATATCATTTGTAGCATCACCACTTTTACAAGCATGATTTGACGTTCTTTTGTTTCTGTCTGAAAAATTGATTTCTCTTTGCAACATTTGCAGTTTCAGCAGCTTTTCTTGTTTTTCATCTTTTTTTCTTTTTTCTAACAACATTTTGCTTTGTTGCTCTTTGCGTATCTCAGTTTTTTTTTTCAACATATATTTTTTCATTTCAACTGAATCAAAACTTTTGTTCTTTTGATGCAAGTGTGTGGTGTCAGTAGCAACAACGTCATCAGGCTCTATAGCTTAAAAATAAATTAAACTAAAGGAATCTTTTTAAGAAATGTAAGCAATCTTTAAGTAGTAAATTGTTAAACAAATGTTTTGCAATAAAAATAATAAAACTCTTATGAATGCATTCTCTCACTTGAACGTTTCATCTTCTTAATGCACAGTGGCTTTTCTTTGCTTTCCATTGAAACTATGCCTAAAAATATATAAGAGTTAAAGTTAAAAATACATAATATAGTCATTGAATTTTCACAAACAAAAACAAAGCGGTCGGGATCATGTTGAAATGCAAATTTAAGAGCTACTTCAATCAGCACCTCCTCACAGGTTTGGGTTAATTTTTGTGCATACGCATGGGCTTTAAAAGTAGTTTACCAATAAAATTATTGAAAATAAAAATGGCGTTGAAATTTCATTACTCTCATCAAGAATGCTTTTTGAATCATCAGAATTGGAATAGTTAATACTGTCTGTTGGAGATTTTTTCCTTGCATTGCTACTGCTGTTTCTTGAGTCTGCAATTTTTAAAGCTTCGTGTATATAAAATTATAAGATTAATCAATAAAAATATACACACTATGTGGGAACTTTAAAAAGTTTTACAACACAGAAACATTTTAAAAGCTCGATTTAAATGAGAAATTAAATTTCAGTCTTAAGAGAATTCTTGACATGGCATGATTTTATTTTTAGCCCGTGTTTGGTTGGTTGATTGATTGATTGGCTGATTGATTGGTTGATTGATTGGTTGATTGACTGATTGAAACTGCAAACAATTGAAATAAAAATAGCTGAAGATTTGAGAACTGGCCCGTTTTGAGAAATTTAGTACACGATGGTGATCGCAAAAAAGATGAGACTGTGCAAAAAAGAAATAACAAAATGAATTGATTTAGCATTTTTAAAAGATGATAGAAAATAAGATTGTT